AGCAGATTTCGGAGTAACGAGGATCCATCTTAAATTTCCAATCTTGTTTTTAACATCTTCATTTTTGACGTCTGTAGGTGTAAGATAAATGAAACAAGTCGGTTCATTCAAATTTTCCCTGTTGATGATGATCGGTGCTTGTCGCTGGTTAAGCACCTGAATTAGCCCTGTCTTCTCTGTGTTCACCTGAAGTCCTAGCTTCTTTGGTACTTCTTTCAATCTGCTGAAGTGTTGTAACACTTGCTAAACTGTTGTGTATACTTTGAAATTGTGATGTAACCGTACTTCTATTTCTTACTTTGCAGATAGGGACCACGTAAACGTAGTGGACCAACTGTCGAACTAAGTAGGCAAACTGAACATTAAAAAATTAGACATTAAGTGTGTACCTATAATCTGCTGCTTGAAATTTTTACCACACTTGTTGTTTTAACAATACACTACAAATCATTTCCGGACATTGCGTTTTTATTCTTAGGTTCTAGTGCGCTCGTGTCATTTGGTTAGTCAATGCGTAGTCCTTTCTCTTTTAAAAGTGAAGCTCCTTATCGAGCTCCAGTCCAGTCGTCTTCACAGTGAGTTCTGAAAATGTAGTCTAGTTCAAAGAACACAATCACACACTAAAACAACGAGAAAATTGTTAGCACTTAGCGTCTCAGTAGTGATTTCATATATACGTAATACAAACTAGTGGTATACAGGGATCAAATTTAACTGATCTAAATACTGCCTGACCGCTTCTTCGGTATGGAATCAGTTTCAGCTATCATTTCATCACAAAGAAAAGAATCATTCTAAACCACATTAATTTTAGTCAGTTGTTTTGGTCTTATTACATACAAATCGTTATAAATCAAATGATTACTAAATAACTAATTTTACCACAGGGTGTGTGTTTCCTGTGATCAAGTCAGTACTAAGTAGCTGTTGTGTACAAATCATAAATTAAGGTAATTACAGAATACAAGGAGCCTGCTTTCCACGCACTGATAAGAAGCTAAACTCATAAAAATGAGTGTAAATCAAAACGTATTTTCACTTACCTTTGTCTTCGAACGGGGTTATATATATATGTATATATCATAACAGCTGTTGTGTATTTTAGGCTATTAGCGGATAATGAAAGGCTGACACACAAAATGAATGTTTTTTCTTACGCAGTCCAGCTTAATCAGTGTGAGTAATTACCAGTCTAAATACACGTACATATGTCAGGTTTCTGTGATAATCTGTCCACAAGAAATGCTAAATTATATCATTTTTATTTTGGATTCCAAGCGGAAAATGGAGCTTCAACTACAGAGCTTCACCATTTCAATCTAGAATGTCCATTTCATCGCTTCCCAAGCGGTCCCAACTTGAGGACTTAAAGACTGATTTTACTCAACAGCCTTTCTAGTTTATGTCCAACTTCTGCCAACTTTTTTCTGCATATATGTTGGGAAATAAGTAGATTGTTGGCCTACACAGTTCCTCATTTTTCATCCTTTCTGATCAAATGAACTTCAGTACGGAGCGAAGGCAGGTGCTGATGAAAGTTTGAAGCAGCGTGTTGGAATTAGTTTTTGTGACGCTAGTCCCAATGACTGGTTTGATTATGGCTAGCGTTGAAAACTGAAAAATGTTTCTTCTACTGACTGCTGCAGATTTCCTTACTGGCTTCAGAGTAGTGAATTGCTGTCTTATTCTCACAATTCCATTCTGGTTTTAACCCCCTTATTCTCACAGCCTATAAATGAAGCCTTTAAACATCCTTAACATCTGCTCCGTTCATCTGCATCCGTCCATTAGGTTGAGTCCTCACGTTCTACAGTTTGAGATGAAGTCTGTCCGATTTTTGGTGTGTTGTTCTAGCAAAAGCTACGTGACCTTGTAGATCTCTTCGTATTTGTACGCACTACCAATAATCATTGAATCGCTAAGTCAGAATGAGTTCTACGTTTTCATTTGTTTGATCCAGCCCCTTTCAACCCATGATGGGTTATCTTCTTGTATCGTTATCCGATTCCAGTTTCACATGGTTTCATTTCACGCATTAGAACTTTTACTTCGCCATCTGGAGTCTTGTGCATTACTGTTCTTTCAGTTAAATCTGTATTTTATACGATGATGGGAATTACTTCAATGTAACGTCCTGAAATGGGGGCATAAGAAAAGCAATGACAAAGCCTAACCTTGAGGAACTCACCAACCAATCACAGCAGACTTAACGTGTTCAAATAGGATTTGCAGATATATGACTCACCTTTCTGAGAAACGGTCACAAGCAGTACAGAATAACTTTCAGCAATAAAACCACTAATCAGAAGACGTTGCTTCTACACTGGCAATACTGTACATAAAAACTATAAAACATCTCTTGATTTTTTCAATAAAGGATCTGTTGCTTGGCCCTTCTCTTCTGTCGTTTTAATACCTTTTACGCATAGCTACAAAAACTAAAACGTCATCCATTAGATTGGTGATCTACGAGGACCACTTCCCATACAACATGGGGCAGTTATTATTTGTTTAAGTTGCTCGTCATTTCCCATTGATAGATTATATTAGAATGAAATTCTTGGTCTCTTCTGACATGTCTGTTCCTGTTATGGACACTTCAACAGCGCTGTTAGCACGCGATAGTCTTAGAGTTGTTGAAATATTTGAAAGCGTAATGTGAATACTCAGATTATTGATTTAGATCAAAGTAGAAGCATGAAACTCAAATAGATCTGTTAAAATCTTACAGAAAATTCCTTTTGTATAAGAGGAGAAGTTCAGGAACACTTCCTCTTTTTAACGACATAATTCTCAAGACGTACACTATAATATACACGCATATCTAATTCCTATTCGTCTTTGTTCCTCGTGGAACAAAAGGCATCTGGCTCCGTTTCAAGCTTACCAGTTTCAGTAGAGTTTGCGGTGTTTTTACAGGGTTGCTTGCCTCACACCCAACTCATTAAATTATCAATAAGCCAAGCAATACAGAAAGCGTTAACGTAAATTAGGTGGCATGAAACAATTTCCTGGATCGACTACAGCTCAGCTGAAAATTCATTTTACTTCCTTTGCATATTTTCAAATATGATTTTGTAGGGATTTTGTTTGATTGGTTGGAGGATTTCATCATGAGCTGACATCAGTTAAAAAACAATGGAAAACCAGCTGAGAGCACTGGGCAGCCGTCTCGTCCTGATTCGCGACTCTACACAGTACGCCACAACCGCCACGGCTCGAACCCAGGACCTTCAGGTTGCATGGCGAGCTCGTAGACCATTCAGCCCCTGGGAACATTAAGCCACTGGAACCCGATCTAGCAGCCAGTCCATGAATTCTAAGTTCTTACAATTCATGACAAAGCACGACCACTTCGCAATGTCTTCATCGATGAGTAACTGTCCTCATCTTCTATCTGCTATACCCTACTTGTCACGGCTTCCCATTAAACCCAGTTCACTGCCTGAATGAGCCCAGTCTCTGGTGAGCGTCAGATTAATTTTAAAGTATTGGTTTTGTAGAGAATTTTGTTTGATTGGTTGGAGGATTTCACTATAAGCTGACTTCAATTAGAGAACCACTGAAAGGCACACTAGGGAGTACTGAACAGTTGATTCACCCTAGTCTGGGAACACCGGTGGGTGCGTACCGGTGAAGAGTCTCAAACTAGGTTGAAGTGGCTGTCCACTACTCCATGGTGGGTTTTCTAATGGTTGTCCAACTGACTTAGGCTTATGATGAAATCGTCCAACCAATTCTTTTGCTTATGTTCATTAGTTTCAAACACGAATTTCCCCTAATGAATTTGATAAAAAGTTAATAACAAGAAATGAAGCAGGATAAGACGGATCTTTTCTATTTCGTCGGTATCTTTTCAGCTGACTACTACCTGAATAATGAAACTTGATTGTTTTATTACAATATTAACATATTTCAGACCATTAGAAATAAAAAAGGTAGAACAATAATTCAGAATGACTATGATACAAAGATGAATTAAGACGTCTGGCTGGGATAAAATAAAATACCGTTGTACTTGTATTATGAAATGGGATTGAAGCTCTTCGAAGAAAACACAATGGTGTGGAGTGAGCATTGCAACAAGATATGGAGGCATGAAAACCATATGATGATGAAATTCGTAGAAAATTGTTGATAAACAAATGGGATATAAAAGGCTGTTGTGAGTTAGGCTCATTTAGTTCAATATCAGATATGCTGGCAGCAAATTTCAATCAATGATGATGTGGCGAGATATGATTAACCCTGAAAAAATGCACTTAGTGCTTGGATTGTTCAGCGGAAGAATGCTCGCCAACCACTGGCGTGATCTTTTGCTCGATCCTCAACCGACGCATTCCTAAACCTCTCCAAGCAGGTAGTAAGGTCGGTGCAGATTTGATTCAATCAGTCGGGTAACCATGCCAGTAGGTACCTCGCCATCACGGTCACTTTGAACTGTTGATGCTAGATGGTTGAAGGCAGTCGGCAACAGGATGCCCTAACTGACCTAGTTTTCGTAATAGTTGGCACTCGTCAACAAAATGTATCAGAAGAGACATGAATTCCTTCAAGATAGTTGTAGATACACCTTGCTGGCTGGTTGGTGTGTGCCAGCTAGCACGAAACCTAAGTGAGGTAGAGCTTCCTTCGGCCAATTGCCTCCAACCATTTAACATCAACAAATTTTCCTGGTAGTTTGTAGTCATTCCGTTAATATATGTTCGTGTATTCCCAGGTACACACACCTGTATTTTCGTTTAGTCATTTCGTTCGACCTAAGTCATCCAGCTTATTTTCAAGAGATATTAAAATAACATTGAAATGCAAAAATAAAAATTATATCCATTTCTAAATGTACTAGTAAAAAAAAACTGAAGTCGAATTGTGATTAGTTACCTGATTCGTTATTTGATTGGTTGATTCTAAAGTGTATCCCTATCAAAGTAACCAATCAGGTTAAAGGTTCCAACTTATAATAAAACGGTCAGATGCTGACTTTGGAGTTTCATCAGCATAATGATGGATGGACTATGATGGGAAATTATTTTACTTTTGCTGGATTTCTTCTCATTTTTTTAATCCAAAATTGGAGATTAATATGTTGAATAAGACTGGAGGATATTATTCTGTGATAATATACACAGACAGTGGCATACAAAGTTGAGTTTTATGGGCAATTGTTTAAACAAAATGCTTTAAATATGTCATTGAAACTCTTGATAGCTAGTACAGTACATGACAAAGGAAGTACATTTATAACTCTCACTCTATTGCATTTCATTGTACATACATATACTATGCATGTGGGTATAACAGAAACGTTGAACACAAGCAATGTTGAATTTGTACATATAAATTCCAATGGGAATCTAAGTCAACAGAAAAATAATAGTCAGTCTTATGTCACAAATGGAGTCATAAGTACACAGTCTGTGAAAAATAATTCCAATGACAATATGACAAGCAGTCATGCCAATTATAAAGGTAAATAAAAGATGTTTTTCTATAAAATTCTATTGGTGATTGATATATGTAATGAGTGCCTGAGTGGTAGAGTGCTCATCAGTTAGATTAGCAGATCGAATTTCACCCCCTTGTTTATGCACTCGTAAACCACACCTTGTGTAGTTTATTAGTTGATAAAAATCCTGGAAAGGAGGATAGTTTGGATGGCGATTTCATTCTCAAAAGAGGTTGTACAATTGCATTTGTATATACATTAGTTTACATGCATACAACTGTTATTTGATTCCACATTGTAACGAAGTTATTGAAAAGCCATGATACATTTCAACTTGACATGAAAGTTTGAAAGTGTGAATATGGATTACAAGCGCCTTAGAGACAAGATTAAATAGGATTAGAAAACAGCTATAATGTATGTAAAACAAGTTGTTTTTTCTTAATATTTTGATAACTGGAAAAATAACTTCATATGAAAGTTCGAGGGTGTGAATATAGATTACAAGGGGCTTGAAAACAAAATTATAGACGACCAGTGAGGTCTAATTAGATGCCACATGTGTGGATGGATAACCCACCAACGACAATGGTTGGGTTCGGGCTAAATCACGAATTGGTAGAAGTTAGAATTCATGAGCCATTGAATCGGGTCCCAGTGGCTAAATTGTATACGAGCTTGCCTTGTAACCGGAAGGTCCTGGGTTCGAATCCCAGTGGGTGCGTACTGCCGATGATTCCCAAACTAGGATGAAACAGCAGCTGTCCAGTACTCCACTGCTGGTTTTCAATGGTTCTCTAACTGATATCAATCCGTGATCAACTCGTAAAAACAAAACAAACCCTTACAAACCAAACTATAGAAGATTAGGAAGTAGTTTTTTTTCTAACGACAAAAGGTGTGAATGAAATGAGCATGTGAACAAATTGAAAGAATAATATTTTGAAAGTGAAAATGAAAGACACGCAAAAACAGAGGAAAATAAAGGGGATGAAAAAAAAGAGAATTAGGCAGTCAAACCGTAGTAAATTCATGGTAAATGTAGAGGTTGAACAAGTTTCTTTTGAACACATAGCTCCAACTTTTCGATGCATATGGCGAGGACTTCTGCAGTAAAAAGAAGTCGGAAACACACTGCCTTAGGTAGATTTTTGTTTACTTTGTAAATGAACCTGAATGATTAGTCAGTTGAGATGCTGTGAGAGGTGTACTATCAAGGTGTTCACTTATTGTGTCCCTGATTGAACGAGTGTCCCCTCTTCGCATTCATGCTCTGTAATGTTCTCTAACACGTTTTGATAGTACCCGCATAGAACGGCCTATGCAGTCAGTTGCACACGAGCATGTGAACTGATGTATGCACATTGAAGTGGACATATGCGGAGGTCTATTCTTCACGTTGCTTCGAAGCAGGAGTTTATCAGTTGGCCATTCCATTATGATTTTCTGTGGATTATTCTTTTCAGAGTTCCCCCAATTTCCCTTGCAAATTTTACGTCAAGAAATGGAATCTTTGATTCATTTTCAATATCTGTTATGAATTTAATTGAAGGATGGTAATTGGTTAACTCCTGTAAGACACGATTTAAATCAGAATCATCATGACAAACTATAAAAGTGTCATCAACGTACACTTTGTACAGCACCAATTCTGTGTCTATGTAAACTTATGTGCATAAATGCGATTACACAGCTGCTTTTGAGAATGAAATCTCCGAAAAGATAACTTTGCTGAACTTCTTTTTAGTAAACCTACCCGTAAAACCATCAACACTTCTACTGAAACCTCAAGGCTTGTAGCTCTATATTTCACTATGGAAGGTAGAAATAAATAAGCAGCTGAGTGATATGGGTTTTCGCTAATGAGTTAACCTCGTTTATCTGTTAGGTTTTCTATTCACTTAGTGCAAGAATAGGATTTTATCAGCTTGGTAAAATATAGTACCTTATTAGATAAGTTTGTATTAGATGGTTGGAGGCAGTCGGCCACAGGAAGCCTTACCTGACCCAGGTTTCATGTTAGTTGGCACTCATCAGTCAGTCAGCGGGCTTATTTACAACCTTGATGGGTGTCATATCCCTTCTGAAATTCGAACCTGCGTCACCCAGTGAGAGCTGCAGTCAGCGATGTTACCACTGAGCTAGCAATTCGAGTTAGCGACTGACCTCCTGTAGGACTGTATTGGATACTTTTGATTGGACACTAGTCATTAACTAGTGTAATGTATCTAGTCCTTGATGTTCGGTACAGACTGGATTCTACGAGTCAAGTTACTAGGCACTGAATAGTCTCCAATCTAAGTAATAGATAAGCTTATTTGATGTGATACAGAGTGATACAGTATACTAATAATTCTATGACCTTTTGACCACAATTTTTACCTATAAACACGTCAACTGACTTCATATGGTTTTTTTTGTTTCATTTTCAAATCTTCCTTGTTTTTAATGAGTTTTTTTGGTAGATTTAAAATAGGTGTTGCGTCTTTACTGTTTCATTTTTATGACAGTAACTCAGTGAAAAAAATCTTTGATTAATGCCACTTCTGTCCCACTCTATAGCTTGATTGCATGTGTATGCGTGTGCATCACACTAGCCTGATTTAGTTTGGTTAATTTAACCTAGTGAGGTCTGTCATTCCAGGTCACTCAAATGACTGTATTGTGAAGACTGTATATTCGTGTGTATATTGACTTTGTATTGTTATTACTATCATTAATGCTATCATTATTATCAGGCATGTTTAAACTAGATAGTTAACTTCCTAAGGTAATTTGATTGAAAGAGAGTAAATTATTCGCCACGATTTTAACTTGAAATGTTTGCCTTGAAGTAGAAAAGTGGTTGCATCTATATCAATGATCACTGACTTACTATTATTATTATTCCCTTGGGTTCTCAGTGGAATATAGGGCTTCAACAACACATCTCCACTTCCTCCTATTTTGCGCTCTCTTCTTCAGATGGGTCCATGATCGTCCAGAATCGCTCATTTCCTTCTCCTCCATATCATCCTCGCACCGACGACCCAGACGTCGCTTCCCATTAGGATTCCATTCCAAGCGATGGCCTGCATTGAGGGTGATGTCACTCGACAACCTCCTCAACGTATGCCCGACCCATCCGTTTCTATTTTCTCCCACATATTTGTTAGGCTATTGGCTCTCACCTGTTGGTTTGCTGCCAGGAGGAGTTTCTTGTTGCTAATTCTTTCTGGCAGGCCGACCATTTGACGTTCAGGATGGAGTCAGCGAAGGTGGAAACTGTTGATAAAAGTCTTTAACCTCTTTGAAATGCTTTCCGTGAAGACCTCGCCAAGTTTTTGACCAGTATACAAGAACTAAATCACTTCATATTTGTGTTAAAAATCCGAACCTTGTTGTTTAAGCTGGCTGAGTTAGTATAGAAGATTTCCAAACTGAATTCAGGTTGATGAAGCCGTATCTTGCCTTTCCAATTCTCTCCGGCCAGCTTTGATACCTTCAACCTTTCTGTGTAGCCTGCGGTTTAAACCATGCTTTCTGAGCAGATAAGTGAAGGAAGTAACCTCTGTTAAATCTCTCCCATAGACGGCGACTGGTGGTGGTTGTTGTTGCTGTTGGTGTGTGTGTGTCTTCATCACCTACCTCCGCCTTCTCTATGTTCACCTGCAGTGCTGTCTTCTCTGTCAGCGTCTTTAGACAGTTTTGTTGGTTTTTGCCTGCAAATTATGCTCTCATTAAATTATAAATGTTTACTTGCCAAGCTGACTAATATAAAGCTTTTTTCTGGTGTTTTTTATCTTTCAGTCTGATGAAGTAGTTGGCAATCTTTCACTGTTAATTTTAGCGCAAATTAAAAATTCAAAAAAATCCACTCAGAGATAACGTCACCGGAAATAGATGGATTTATTTGATCTACGCAGACTTCTCAAAGGTTTAAGTGTATCAAAAAACGTTTTAGGCTTCAGTGCCTACTTTGAAGAAATTATAATGTTTACTGAAATTTAGAAATTATTGGGTTATTTGAGATTCCTAGTAGGCAGAAAACGTGTTGATCAGTTAATTTAAAAATACGTGGTCATTTATGATCACTGTGTTATCTAACATGTCATGGCAACTACCTTTGAAAGTTATACTGTGTCGCAGATCCTTCACCAACATTTGAATCAGTATAAGCTTGTCATCTTACCAATAGTTCCGGATAATATCAGAAACTGGCACAGCATTATTTTCATGCAACTAGCTGACATTTCCGTTCAACGCATGAATATATAACTAATAAACAACCACGGAAACTTCGATCAGCTTTCCTGATCATTATCCTAATTTATCTGAAGTTAACTTCTGTAATGGACATGAATTTCTTAGAATAAGGCATTTTGTTTGAACATTGTGTTCTTATTTTTTTTCAATTGTGAGAATGCTAATTTATCGGTTCACAGCCATCAATGATTCATTATATGTTAAATCTAGACGGGGTTTATTTGGCTAATTGAAAAATGGTATGCATTTACTGATTTTTGACCTTGTAGAATTCTTTCGACTTGCATTATGAAGGAGTGAACTGTGTAAGATTACTACACAGGTAATGAAATTATATTTATTATTATTCCTTTGGGTTCTGAGTAGAATATAGAGCTTCAGCACATTGCCATTTCACTCTGTTCTCTGCGACACCTTTCAATCTTCTTCACGATTGACCATAAGCTTCAATTTCCTCCTGTTCACATGACATTCTCTATGTCAACCCTAGAAGCCTAACTGGTCGTTTTACATTCAGGTTCCATTAGACGGCGTGTCTGGTGTGTGATAATGCTCTAAGGTCTTGTTGGCATGTGTCTACTCCTGTTATTAATGTTATTATTCCCTTGCCTTCCGAGTGGAACGTAGGGCTTCAGCAACACATCTCCACTTTGTTCTGTTTTTTGCCGTCCTCTTCAGCTGGGTCCACGGCTGATCAAACTCTCCCATCTCCTCCTCACACGATCTCCTCCATGTCACCAACCCCCCACTCGTCGCTTCCCATTTGGGTTCCACTCGA